CAACGAATAACGAGTATGATACAGATCGATACACAGATTGACTAGTTTCACATCTCTAACTAAACTAGATCTCCTCTGAGCCTCCGATTGAGTTTCATTCAATGAAGTGAATCTGCGCACTTGGCTCCATTAGGTCGGATCAAGCTTCGGATCCGAAATTAGGTCGGATCTAGCTCAATTCATCCACTCCTGCAACAGTCACCTAATTGCTAGATGTTGGAAGGCTTCGTGAGGACTTTCCGTAGCACTAGGTAAACGGTTGATTTCTGAACTTTCGCAAATACCAACTCCTCTGGGATTTGTAGTGAACGGTGACCTCCCAAGCTATTTTTCAGTTGTAATTCTCCAAAAATCTTTACTTATTTCAATGTCAGACAAACAGCAGATCAACCAATGAACGTTCAGTTACGGTAGTGATTAACGGCGTCTTCTGCTTAATGGCGAGGTGTTTGCTATTGGAGGAAGCGTCGTACATTGTCAGTTACAGTGGTATGGTTTCATTAGCTACAATGACTGACGTTCACACGAGTCACTTATATCTAGGCCCCACACCACGTGAACCCAGTTGACATGAATAGCAGCTCTTGTGGGCATTTATGCTACCGTCATGGGTTCAACTGTCAACGTCCGCATAATTATCACGGTCATCGCTTCGCGTTGGCACGCAGTTTTGCCTTGAGGTCGTTAGGAGTCTTGTATTCGCTTCCAATGCCCCTTGCTGAGGCTGAGTATGCATTCATGGTGCTTCTTCACCGCAGTCGGGCTAAACCAACTTGTACTTAAACTAGGTCTTTTTAAGTTGGATAAATTTCATTCCATTTTATTTGATTTGTTCTGCCTACCGGAATAAGCTATTAACTTTCCACATTGCTTACGGTAATTGGGCTTATCTTCGTTAACTCTGTTGTGTTTGTAGCAGTTTCTGAGTCACTTCTGGACATCTTTTACTTATCGCGGATTCGTTGCTAACCAACATACTTCATATGCTAATTTAGGGAAGAGTTATGTCTGCATAGCCGTTTTCTTTAACAGATATATTTTATTTGTTACTGTCATTTCAAGTGATTGGCTGTTGGTTGACATCCCCGGTGTGGCTGCGCTGGATGTGTATGTGGACAAGGTGCCTACATGTCTATTACCCACTACTTCGTTCATACTGGCTCTAGGAGACAGTTGGTCGTTGCTGGAGGGGTCGGGGTGCATGGTCCTTGTGGTCGTGTTAGGCTCAAAGAGTGGTTCCATGCACTCAGTGTGGAGCGCACTACGGTCCAGCCACCGCCTTGTGTGCACTTGATTCCCCAAATACAGTGTGCTTGTGTTTGCCTGTGAAGGAGCGTGGGCCGGCTCCGTTGATGAAACCTGGCTCCCGTCTACATGCCTCCTGGTCTTATTCCTTCGGGTATACACTGGATATGGGGTGTGTGGTTGGAGCTGTGGGTGGTGCAACGCAAGCCATCCATGGTCCCTCTGTAGGCGCAGGCGTCCTGTGGCTTGCCACAGTGACAGGCAAATCCGAAACCGGATGCCGCCAACCATTCGCTTCCAGCCGTATCTGCGTACAAGTCCATCGTCCAGACTGACAATGCGATTCGCCGCATGAAGCCATGTTTGCTTTTGATGACTTCTGACGAAGCTGGGACTATTGACCTTCAACCGTATTCAGTGAGCACTTGCTCTATCCGAATGCCAAACCATATTGATACGCATTCTCTATTTGGCAGGTGCCCGTGCGCTAACGGCGTCGTCATGGATTCTACCCATACGCACCCGAGCAGCACATATAAGTGAATGCTCGGACTCGCTGTGGGTTGCTACACATGGCACGCTTATCTCAAACCAACCAACCAACCAAGGAGGATTTACACGCACAGTGACCGTTTTAGCATATTGCAACCAGACGGTTTTCGTTCGTGTGGTGTTCGCAGGACAAAGTAGGGTAATCTGATTAGAAAGCTGGTGCCTCCTTACACCGACGCGATATAATGCGGCATCGACCAGGTAAAGTGGATTCGCTTGTGTTCAGTTTTGTCCTGCTTTACAGTTAACAACAGCAGTTAACAACTGTATCATATTCAGGTGAATTACTCATAATTACGTCAAAATCAACAGGAGAAGTTTGGAATACAGCTAATGCTTTTCTCAACCACGCAGAAAATGAAGAGAATTTCAGTGGGTGTTCCCTCGAAAGCATATTGTTGGTTCTCCCACAGCTGTAACTAACGCTCAGTCGCGAGCACTTGATGTACTCCGAACCGTGTGATTAGACGACGTTCACATGTACAAACACAAAAGTCTGCAAGGCCTTCAACTGTGGTTGCGTGTCAATAGCTAAGCATTATTCCTGTTTTAGTTAATGGCCACAAGTGGGGGTTGCGAGAATACCAAGATAGGAGGACAAAGCAATTTCCGAGATTGCTATGTCTCCGCATCGCAACCTAATGCAACTTTTGAACCTCTTTAGGATCTAGGCTATGAAGCAGTGTTTTCGTACTGTAGAACCATCCGCTTCAGTGCTACAGACTAACAAGCTTGACTTAGGAAGTGTGCGGAAATCGCTGGAAGCCAATGTGACCAGCAGCGCGATCTCCCGTGACTTATTAAAAACCGATTTGGATAGCGACAACTAGTTTCCCTGATATTGGGAACTTTCACGATTGCTTTATCATAGTTGTTAATGTGAATTTCGAAGCACAACGAAAGCAGCCACTAGGATAACATGGGAAGATAATTCGGACAATGCAAATAGCCACTCTAATGAGTGAATCATATACCACGTCCTGTTAGTATCCATTAAGATAACCTCGTCGTCGAGCACCCTCTTACCCCAAGAAGCTGTGTGAATCGTTGAGAATTGTGAGGAGGCATCTGTTTTATAAAGTGAACCGAACTAACAGTTCGACAGTCTCTGTATTTTTCTTTTGCATAAAGCGCCACGTCTGGCATCAGCGACTCATATTACTGAGTGAAGTAGGTTGGTGGAATTGTGTTGCTATTTGTTACATCCGCAGGACAGTAGGCTGTATTGTAACGAGGGATGGGAACCAATTATTTACCGGCTGTAAGCTCAACGATCCACTGACTAATCTGGAAGTATGGAACCTGTGTGACCTTGATGGAGTACATGTCCCTGCACTAGGTTTGTTCATCAGGTTTCATTGTCAGTACGTGGTTGTGCTGTTATATGGGAGTCAGAGACGAAAGAGACTGCACAGCTGCTATCTGCGACCCTCAGTTAGCTCAGGCCTAAGCATGATAGTGCGGCTTGGAGATCCCCAGTCCCAGCAGAAGACATATTCTCGATGGACTGGATGAGGTATTGATAGTGGCGCATTAAAAAGGGAAAGGGGATGAACACTCATGTTTTGCCAAGTTATATAACTTTCCATCAAATTACTTTCACACAACTATGCAACATCCCTTTGACATTCCATCCATGCGCCTAACTGAAGTGAACATTAACAATCATGCTATTTTTGAATATCACCCAACCGGTCGGTGACTCATGGTAGCATTATTAACAAATCTTGGTTTCGTGAATTATGAATTTAAAAAACTACAGGCGCTCATTTTCGACAACCAGGTCCTGTTTTAGCCAAAATGTTCATGCAGGGTAATCAACAGATGCGCACTGGCAATGTGTAGCCGTAGGTGTGCGGTGTCCTTTGCCGGTGTGTACTGCAAGCGGGACAGACAGGTGTGCAGGAACACAACGTGCCGCATCAACGTGTCGACGGACACCGATCAGCGAATGCCCACCATCACTGTGAGCGGTTGAATAGTCGGAAATCGTGAGAGGGATCGATGCGCCTCCGTTATAGCCCAAAACAGGAGAGGAAAACACATTGTGGAATCAGCTTGCACGGCTGGGATACCAAATACTAGATGGCGGTTTGGTGCCAAGCATCCCCCGGTATACTAAGATTCATCCAGCGTGGTTTGTTACAAATATCCAGTAACAATTACTGAGAACAATTTCACTGACACTGTCACTTGGCCAGATGCCGAAATGTTTTCAGCGAAAATAACCAATTCACAGAGTAACCCATCATGCTGACTGTTGGCCACACTTATGGGGCATTCACGTTCATACGCTAGCATGTTCTACCTGAATTGGATATGAGGGGACCGTACAGTGAGAACCGTGATCTTTGATTACTCCAAGCTTTTCATCTTCCATCATTTGTTGACTGCTAATATTCCTACTTCTACAGGGCATGTTGTAAACGTGAGACATTCCGAAATAGTATGGTGACTTGGGGTATAAATTCATCAACATTACTCCATAGCGTAGCAGTATGCTGAGCTGGGTCCAGTTTGGCTCCGGTTATTACAACGAACAGGTGGGATTGAATTTGGTGGTTGTATCTACATCTAGCACAGATGACTGACGCAGACGAACTTTTATAGGAGTGTACCATCACTCTGGACTAGTTTTTCCCTTTGAATAAACGGCGATACGCTTAAACGACTCACAAAGTGAAACCGCCTGAATGCCTTAAGCATGAGGTTCGATTTGTTTCTCATGTGATCGCTGGGAAGCTGCACTGTGTGCGCTTGCGCGACTTTAATTGAGCCGAAGTGGCCACGGGTGCAGGTGGGGTTGCAGTTCACGACATCTACGATAACTGTGTATTCGGCCGAGGAAAGGTTTGGCGATAATCATTTCTGACCGTATTTGCACTCTATAAGTCGCCTGTACATTGGTAAGGGAAGACATGTAGCTAATGTATAACTATTCTCCCCAAATTTATGTTTTTGATTGGTTGTCCTTCGTCATTTCTATCCTTTTGCAACTCACATACCCACATTCCATCACCCCCCCCAACTATTCACATACAAGAGGCTGCGATGAATGCATCCCATCTCCGCGTGCCACAAAGGATGAACCAATGCCTAGCTCGCCTGGTCTCCCCCCTCCACCACTTCACTCTCTCCCTCACACTGACCAATCAGCAACCGACATAAAGCTGCGAAGGCGATGTGGCTCATCCCATATTGTTGACCTCGGTTAATTTACTTCAACGAAAGGATCGACTGATCCGCAGAAGAGCTCGAGGACGGAAATGACTTCATCTGCACATTCAGATCTATGGTAAGCTGGTTTCAAGATGATGCCATAACGTTTTGAGCAAAGTAATATTTTAATTGGTGGAATGGTATTATTTTTTGTTTAAATGTGTCGGGAGGGAAAATTGCAGGGGAGGGCTTTGACACTGGAGTTTTGGAAAATAACAGAGCCACCAAAGCATTTCCAAGGTGACAGTATACCGGTTCATTTACAGATCGCTTGCAAGGTAACTAAACATATATTACAGAAGAGTAGTAGGGGGAGTTGAATGGTATAGGTAGAATTTCGCCACATCTAGGCTCACTCAGACAGCCGCCACAAGCCCGGAAAAGCACTGTACGCGCGTTTCATCCTTTCGGGAATCATCATCATAAACATATATTGCTTGCTTTATTTGATAAACATTTGCTGTTTGCTGAATACGATCAACGGACGGAAAATAGCGACGTTTCGATTTTCATGTTGTATATTTATTTAGGTACTTGGGCTGGTGTAGTAGTACTTACTATAGCCATCATGGCGCACAAGTGGGCTTAGTAAACGTGGTCGTATGATGTTCAGATGTTAGTTAGGTGTCGACTAACTCAGTTGTCTGTATAGGCCCCTAAATCACAGAAATTATGCCCCCGGTATATGGACTCCAGCAATGAATTTTGACTATTAAACATATGGTAGAGTACTGTGCTGGAAACTAGCTATTTTCTTTACAAATTATTTGCTTAGAATGCCGTCATAATTCAACCAATCTTCTTCTGCACTAGATCTATGCATCCAGTACTAACCAGTTTCAAAGACTTACATCATCTACCGCCATGGAGGTTAACGGCGATATTCCTTGTTCCAGAGTTATCTGCTAAAATGCGCTGAACCCGTGAGACACGAGGATTTGGGTGTTTATTCTTCACTAACATGCTGAAATACCTACATATCATCAGTATGCTAGTTGTGCTTAAAGTAACAACCACGTTATTGTAAAACCAACAGATCAAACTAAGGAATTTATGCGATACAGGCATATCATTCTCGCGTTACCGACTGCGCTACTCTGTAAAAATGCTCTCAATGTTCTATATGTGGCCGCTCCACTTTGCCTACTGGAATTGCCAGCACATACGCAAGGGACTGAAGTTCCTACTATTCATCTTTTAGGGACAGAAGCGTTATAATGTAAGGGGCACCATTCGGAAAAATCCTGCAACCCTTTTCAGCAGTTAAACAGGAGAACAACTACGGAAAGATTGGGTACCGGGACGCAGGCCACATTCGTTGATTGACACACGATCGTAATTTGAATCGCAAACCCTTACTCCTGAGCCTTAAAGAATTCGCTCATTGCGAGTATTATCGAACTTTAGGAATGACGGCTGTTAATGTGCATGGAAATAACTAGTGACCCACCCACCAGTTGATGGTAAATAGCGGTATTTTCAATGCCATTCCCTTTTTGTCCCCCATGTAGAATACTTCAGGATGGAACAACTTTAGTATATTTATACTACAAAGACGAACAAGCGGTATAATATTGCCTCCTACGATACAAACCAACTAGACCTGTGAGCTGAAATACGCTTGCTAATGAATTCGCTTATATAAGCAAACAGCGCATTTTCCTTCACTTGGTACGCTTTCGATAGAAGCATGCCTGCCTTCTGAAGAATGTTTTGGGCCGTGGATCGGATCGATGGATAAAGTCAACATTATCCGACTCAGCGTTCGTGCCTTAAGTCGAACTCATTAATACGACTCCTTGTTCAATCATGTGCATACGAACACCCTGCCAGTATCGAGCCAAGTCCGTCACATTGCTCAAGCCATCGGCTGGTTGTCTACCGGGTGTTGAATGTACCACTCTGGGTCATGTATGGAAATTTTTCAAATCATGACAGATATCCTCTGGTGTACAAATAGTTGCTCACCTTGCAAAATTTATCGACTGTCCTACTGGTATAAGTTAAGTACATTACAGCTAGGCTCGTCCAGTCAGCCATCCATGAAAGATCGTATCACGCATTGGGGAATCGCCTGCAGTTGGCAACGCAGCCTGGCTTATAACGGCCAGAAAGTCCAATTTTTGACAAATCTCGCAGAATGATTAAGGGGCTTTGTAAAATGAAGGCACCACTAACAATTAACTAAGGCGCAAGTTGTAGGACTCATCAAGAGATTGGCAGTGGCACTTAGGTGAGTATTCCTGCCTGGAGTTTTAGAGGAGATAAACACAGTCCGCTCTATGCTGTGTACTATGCTGTCTCTGTGGTCACGGCATCATATCTGACCCATGTGAGGCTAGAACAGCAACCCGACTGTTAGCAGCGCGTCCACGGAGGACGATAACGACCAACGTGGGAAAGTCCCCATATATGATACATCTGCCCGCCCTGTCTCCTGACTTGGAGATGGCTGATATGCAGAGGATAGGGTAATTCCCTTGTAATTATTATTATATTATTAATTATTAATATTATTATTAATATATTATATATATATATTAATATTATTATTAACATTATTGTTCATCTACACCAATTTCAATTACGGCTAGCATTCCAACCAAACAGCTCGCGTCGAATATATAATTCTAGCTAGATTGATGAGCGTGTTCGAGTTTCACTCCAACGAAGCTACCTACATTACGCCGGCTCGTAACTATTGAAATTTGTAAGGTGAAGATGCGACCATGCACTTTTGCGTATGTGCTTTCCTGTGGCCCGAATTACGGAACTGGGATTAGAGGTGTTTAAAATACGAATAAAAGGTAAGGGATTTTTAATTGCACACAAGGCTTTATAGTACAATAAAGGAAGTTCACAGTATAAATCGATGATGTTGTGCGAAATATTGTTCATGAGCTTTAATTGCAAAAAGGTTAACGGAATATGATCCCATCAACTTACCAACACACAAGGCGTTTGCTGTTAAGTGCAGAGGTTCGATACGTTTGATAGTGTGCATTTTATTCGGACATATCCACTCAAATAGATTACAGGGTGGATGTATAACCTACACATTACGTAGATTTTCTAAGGGTACGTGTTATGTCTTACACAGTTAAGGTTTCATCTGAGGCCCCATAATCCCCAGTAAAAGCACAGAGCGCTAGGATAGAACAAAAAATCCCTAAGTGCGTAGGCTTCTTTCTCCAACTATATATTACTCGTGTTTATGGTGGGAACAGTGATATCAGAACACGATGACATAACTAAGGTGCGATGCTTGTCTTCTCCCGGTGGCGCGTCGCTCATCAGAAGGTTGGAGAGATAATATAACTGAAACAAAGCAAGTTCCATCCTTTGGTTAGTTTTGGATCCTGCTGTCCGGTACCCAAGATAGCGCCGCAAGAGAATTTCGACGAGGTAGATTTGGTGACTGTGGGCGTATGATATAAAGAAGCTGCCATTTTTATGGATCCTGGCCCCGTACTTCACAACGTTCACAGCTTGTGGGTTGAAATGACCAAGCCAACGCAGAACTTTTCACACCAATCCATAGGCTGTATAACCATCAACAAATTACGGTAGTGTTCTTATTAATGTCAAATACTTCAACTCTCTATGTGTGATTTAAAAACAGAATTGTAGCGACCTATTATATCTTTCAAAACTTAAGTAAATTCATTAGATCTAAACTCAGCCAGACAACAATTATACGCCCAGGAAAGCACGGCACGACGATTGCATCCTCTCCGGAATCGTCAGCAGTGCAAATTCCATCTGACCAGTCGGATCGGCAACTAGAGTGTTGCCAGACTGTGGTTGAAACCACCGAGCTACGTGAGTAGATTACTAGGTGTGATGTAGTGCCGCTTGGCCAGGAGGCTACCCTATCCTCTGCACGGTAGTGACGCGCAAACCAGTGGATAGTGCGCGGCGTAATATCACACCTTGTAACCGTCACGACGGTCGTTACCACCCCAAGTAGCTCGGGGGTTTCAACCACAGACTGGTAAGAGTCTACTTGGGGGTTCCAGCCTCACAGGGGTCAGAGGAAGTGCGCACCGTTGAAGATTCTCGAAAGGAGGAAACGGCCGTGCAGTGTTGTTCCGGACTGACTGGCTGACTGAGCTTAAATGTGATGAATAACTACTTATACCAAACTTGTCTGTAGGACTTACCTGTTTGTGGGCTAACTATGCTGTTGAAAGTAGTCACACTAAGCAACAAACAGGAATGGTGTATCCGTTGTGGCACCTTACCACCACCACCGCCGTCGCCGCCGTAGCCGCTACCTATCCGTGTCTACCTAGATCATAAGAGTAGAACACGGTGTTCTGGATGTTTCAGTAAAGATAATTCACACACGCAAGAGACTGTCGATTTGTTTGACTTGGGTACTGTGGCCTTTATCTTCAACTGTAATAACCGTACCAAGTCTAGCTATTTCTCTTGCACAGTGACCTCCAGAAATACATTTAAAACGCTCCCACTGCTGACGTCAGCGCCAGCATAATCACAATACGTCAAAGTGACTCTGACAGAGAGCTTGATAACTAACCACTGTCCCTCGCATATTCAGTGCTGCGTTGATGGGATCGGTTACATTCTGCACATACCCATTCCGGTATGTTTATACCATTGATGTTACTGGGATAATCTGCCAAATCTTTACATATATGTTACTGCTGCTAGGTTTCTACTGAGGAGCGGATCATGGATGATCGGGTAACACATGAGTTATCCGATCGTTTGTCATTTACTCATTACTCTTGATTATGTTTAAGCTATCATTTCACTTGTCAGAGTTATCACTTAAGACTTAGATACAATTGCTGTTGTTAAAGTAAATAAACAAAAGTAGAATATTGTAAATACTGCGCTTATGAGGGAGGGACCATTGACAGTGTAGCCACACATCATACGGGGCATGTTGTATAGGCAGCCATCGAGGCCTACTGTGCTCTAACGAATTGTAACACCTAATCTACTTACTCTCTGGTGGTGGGTACGGATGAGATTCTGGTCGGCTCCAAACAATTCGTTACTCTCACCGCGTACTTTCCGTTCTAGCCCTTCGAGTTACACTGTCCA